TATATATATATATATATATATATATATATATATATATATATATATACTGTATATATATAATGTGCATTTATGATTTAATAATGACTGACATTTTCTTGTCACGCCAGTGGATAAATAATAAAAATAGATAAAGAAAAATCAGGATGATTAAGCTTTTCTAATTGTAAACAGTGATGTAAGCTGCCCCTGATTAAGAGTCATAACAGTTTTATTCTGCTTTGACTTTTTCAGGAAAATCCCATCAATGATTTAGTTTCGAATTAATTAACCAGTTCTCCTCTGCAGCAAGTGGTTTTAGGCCTTTACTTTTCCCAGCTCAGGACGTCTTACCACAATGATTACCTTTACCCTGCAGCACTAACTGCATTTATTGGCTTGTTTTATTGAGCCCACCACTGTTTTTATAGTGTCGACCTCCTGAATGCACAGCAACATGAGATGAACGGCATTGTTTCTGGTGAAGACGAAATGTGATTTTATTTAAAGACCTTTTTTGATTTCTCAGAATTTACCTTTGTTTTTGTTTTTTTACAATAAAATCAGTTATAAAAGGATACAGTTCAAATGTTTTCTTGTATGCTCTTACAGTCATTTTCATGTGACAAACTAATTTAAAGTTCCCACCTACCGAAAATAATTGACAGTAGAGAAAATGTGTGTATGTGTATGAACATGTTTTTTAAGAATGACCACAACAACAGTGAATAAGTTCTCCTTCTTTATTATAACAAAATTATGTAAAACCAGTGGGCTCATCGCACCAACACATACGTCATTCAGTCTTCACAAAGCTCAGTTTTGCATTCACTTCCTGGTATTAGAAACCTCAAACTGGCGGGGATGGTCCTAGTGCTGCTTCTGTCTTTTGTTCATGTGTGCAGCAAGATCCGGGGACCTGACCTACTCAACACCTTGAACTTTTTTTCATGTTCAACCTGCCCTAACTTCTTCTTGCACCACGGCTCATTACACTGTTGTAACAGACCAAATCCATCATGGGATTCTGTTGTCATGAAGAGATATATATTTATATATTTATGTCTGTGAGGATTTGGGTCTGTTAGTGTGCCTCCCTCTTGTGCTCTGTCCTATAGCTCCTGCGTCTCCAGCTGTTCTGATTGTCTCTGTCCCAGGTGTTTGTCATTCTCTGTCATCAACATCCCTACATCTGTGTTCTTCTTTGTCTGGGCATTGTCTCGAGTAGCGTCGTTTTCTACCTCCCTCCATGTCTCCCCAGTGTCATTTACGTTTGTTGCCATGTCAGCTTTTTGTTCATTTTTAATAAAACTAATTAGTTGTCCGAGTCCTGCCTGCACTTTGGGTTCATCCACCACCACCACATCCTAACAATGCCACAGTGATGTGGACACAAACGCAGTGTTTCCAGCTGGACACACACACACAGACCTAATTCACACAAAGTAAAAGAAAAGTGGGATTTCTGTGGAGAAGTTATAAACATTCAACTTCTTACCTTTAGTAGTATCTCTTTGAACAACCTCAGTTTCTAGAAATAATTAAAATCGGACCAGATTAGCATGCTAACAGCTAATCAAAGTGGGGCCAACACGTTTAAAGTGAATTGCTGTCATCTTAAAATAATTCCACTGTCAAAGATTTATGAGTTCATGCAAATATTTTTAACAACTACACTGCTGTGAGTTTTCTCTGCAGTTACTTGGAAAGAAATTGATGATTATTTAAAAGCACAAAGTAGCATCAGCAGCTCGCTAGAGCTTTTCCGGCACGGAGCACTTTTGTCACGAATAACATATTTTTATTGGAATAATGCACAATTAATTGACACTGATGTAAAGCAGTGTTTACGGCAGGAAAGAGCCGCAGCTTGACGGTCGCTGCTAACATCTAATCATGGCTAACAAGCAAATCAGACAAGAAAAAATCATAGAAGAAATTATGATTTTTTTTTTTCTGTATATTTTTTTATTTAGTGTACCAAACAGAAAAAAAGCTATAAACAGTCAGTTTAATATTTTTTGCTTTCTGAAGATCATTTCAAGCTCCTTCACTTGGTGGGGTCTGAAAACTTTTTAACCTGGAGTCACTTTAAAATGACAACAGTCCACTTTGCTCTTAGTCCTGCTCAGACTAGCTGCCAGATTGTTAATCTGGCCAGAATTAAATTATTTCCCCTAGCTAAACATGCTCAAAGAGCTATCTTTGACAGGTAAGATATTAACTGTTTATAACTTTTCCACAGAACCCCACTCCAAAAGATCTGAACTGTTAATTGAACTAATTCTACTTCCAGTTTACTGCAGCATTTAAGAGGTTATTTAAAGCTGGTAATGATTTTAATGTTTTGATTCATGGCAGCAGATGTTCATGTATCTTCTTTGAACGTTTAACTCATCCACATGTTACAACTCATGACTTATTACAGTCCCTCAGTCACACCGTACTGGTGAGTCACTTTTTCTCAAATTAGCACAAACCTTCTTACCGGTTCTCCAATTGGCGACAGCAGATGTGAAGCTTCACAACACTGCTGGAAAAAAAAGGCACTTCCCTTTCAGTTCTTGTGATGTTTGGTTGTCAGTCAAGCATTAAGGCGGTTGAAGTATATATATATATATATATATATATATATATATATATATATATATATGTGTGTGTATCACTTGTGCAGCAATGTGTGACCACAGATCAGTGATGTTTGCACTGAGAAATGAGGTCCTGTTGAGGTTGTTGTTGAGATCTGTTACTTTCAGTGCTGCTAAATGTAGAAGTTGGAGGCAGAAACTTGCGGAGGCTTCAGTAGCCCTGTTGTGTCATCCTCAGGATCTGAAGTAGCAGACGCTGCACTTCTTCGTCCATGTGACCCTGTTGAGCACAACACCCAGAACCAGAGGGAGAATACTGAGGCTTCCAGCTGCTGCAACTTCATATCTACAGTCTACAACGTCACAGAGAAACGCTGATTTCATTTTCTGCCCATTTCACAGCTTTAATTGCAAAAACTATGAGTAGATGGTTCTGATGCATGCTCAATAATCCAGGTAGATAAATCTAGCAAGGTTCAGTCTGGTCCTCCTCAGACTGAAGTCTTTTGGATAAAAGATGATATGTTTCAACAAAGAAGAATCCATCCAGAGGACCGGACTCAACCTTGTCAGATTATGAGTAGATTATAAATAAAAACACTACATAAGCTTATAAACTATAAAACAGGCCTTTCTCAACGAAGACAGACGCTTTATTTCCCTCTCCTGCCTCCCTCCTGCCTGCTTTTGCTCTTGTCCTGTGAATCTGTCTCAGAGCCTCTCTTTACACATCTTCCAAACCAAAAATTATTATGGATCTGGTCTCTCAACGAAATTGATCAAATTTTCTCGACAAGAAGACAGAGTGAAGGAGAACCTTCATGCCCTGAAGGGACACATGCAGCTGGATATACCATGGGTTCCTGGGTGTATGGAAAATGACTGTCCATTGAGGATGTTGAAAACACGTTCATAATTAGATTTATGATAACAGGGTTTCTGCTTTTTTGGAATCGGCGGGTACCTGGGAAATTGATTAATTAGGAAGACGTCTGCAGCAGTTTTGGCAATTATGAGGCTGCCTGCCTTATGGGATGGATTGTCCCGTGCTTTGAGCGCTCACTCAGATGCTTTGCAAGCTAAACCGTAAGCTGGACACAATTTCTGATAATCGCAGGCCAATTGAAGCTCCTGGAACTTGCTGGCATGAAAGAATTGAGCTTGGAGAAGGCTACCTCCATCTACCCTTGTTTTCTTTGGACGGCTGCACTGAATGTATTTCGTTGGGCTTAATGGTGCAATGACAATGAAGTTGGTTTTGATTCTGCACTTCTTCTCGACTGTGTCTGCATCGCTCAGTGTAACTTGATTGAAACACCAATCAGTGCTCAGTGTGCCATAAAGACAGCTTATGTGTGTTTTAAATGAGTTTATAGAGAATCAAGAACCAAACAATGCTTCTAGCTGCCAAAAATATTTAGATTTACAATAATTCTCTTCATTTTTTTTTAAATAGAAGAGATAATGACTTTTGTTTGTGTCACAAACTTGGATGAATTAGAAATTCAACTAACAGAATCCCTCATAGAAGAGATGTGTTTAGTGCATTAGAAAATAAATATGATGAGCTCATAATTTCATTGAAACATAACTAGTGGAGGACAGTCTACCTCTACATCCAGATCGTTCTGTTGTTCACACCAGAGAATGACAATTCTCCAACAATCATGCAGTATATGATCAATATTGCATGCACAGTAAATGTGGCATGTAAACACTTTACAATACGCTATTTTTATTTGTTTGTCACCTCAACTGACCTGTACAGCTGACAGTAAATGAGAGCGATACACAGCCACAACTTGTTTGTGTTTCCTCTCCCAGTCCTGAAATTAATAAATAAAAATACAATGAAGATCCAGACTCTTTGATATACCATATTATGGTACAAAAACATCACTCTGGGTACTATATATCAAAACAGGTATCCCTTCCTTGGCATTTTGACTCACCTGCAGCTGTTGAGTGAGGATAGATATCCTGTTCTGCAGCGCCATCTGCTGTCCAGGGTTAGAATGTTGGATAGAAGAGGAAGATGTGATCCCAAGAGGAGGTGACAGAGCTCCCAACGCCTCTTTTAGTCGAAACACTTCCTTGGACAGCTCTGTTATCTGCACAACCAACCAACACATTTAATATAGCTCCTCAAAACCTCAGGAGCATCTAGTAAAAGCAGCCCCGCAGCTCATCACCTTGCGGTCCTTCTCTTTGATGAGGCCCTGGGAATCCTGGATGTCTTTGTGGAGCTCCTGGATGTGACTAGACTGGGCCTGGAGTTGAGAGAGATGTTGCTGCACTGAGGTCAGCTGGGACTCTGCTGCCTGCCGCTCGCTTTTATGGAACAGTGCCTCTCTCTGAACCTGAAATACCTACACCAGTAGAGGAAAGTTGTGCTTACTGTAAGTTCTAGACTATTGAGCACACCTGAATAAGCCACACCCACTAAAAAAAAAAAAAAAAAAATTTGTATGTATATATAGGCCGCACTTGTCTATAAGACGCGAGTGTCCACATTGAAACAAGAGATAGTTAAATATAGACTTTTTAAACTTTTAATTTTAACTTTTTTTAACTTTTAACGTTTTTTTCTGAACAGTGCCTGTAATACAGCTGGTAAAAAAATAAAACAGTAACCCAGTGTTTTTCAAATCTCAAAAAGCTGGAAAGAAGATGAAAAAAAGCAAAAATAAAAAATAGCAATAATAATAATAATAATAATAAAAACTGCATACTAGAACAATCTGTGTCCATCATTTCCAGATAAACATGATTGAGAGAGAGGTTAGATTTCTTTTGTTGTGTTCTTCTAGTCAAGTTTGTTGAAAAGTTGTTTTTTTTCAGTGGGAATATAATACATTGTTTAAAACATGTTAGTTAATAACATTTTTATGCTCCGCAGTTGTAATAATTAATAGAATATAGTGAATAAAAGTTAAAACATTCTAAAAGTTGATATTTCTTTACATATTTTGTAGCATTGTTTGTGGGTTTGTGATGGGGGCGGGGCTTCAGCCAGAAGCTAATGCTGTTTGGGGGTCCATGGCATGGAAAAGTTTGGGAACCCCTGCAGTAGCCTACCAGGAAGTCATTGATCTCCATCTTAATTTTCCTCCTGCAGAGGATTTTTTTTACACTGCTCCGCTGTCGGGATCTACCGGCAGGCTTGAGCAAAACCTGCTCTGCGCATGCGTCCAGTTTTGATAAACAATTTCTCGCCTGCAGTCATCCAAACCTCCCACTGAGCTCTGAGTGCCACATTAATGCACGACTCATACTTATTTTGAGTGGCTGCAAATACTTCGTTGAGCCTCCAGGGAGGGAGGAAGTATCTCCCCCTCCCTGCTCTGTGAGCGCCCGAGTGTGACGAGGCTAAATGTGTTGGCGGCATGAAGCTCGTTAGCCAATCAAAAAAATAAAATAAAATCCGTAAATTAGCCGTAGAGTTGTATAAGGCGCAGGGTTCAAAGCCTGTGAAAGAAGAAGCGGCTTATAGTCTGAAAATTACGGTGTTTTTGTCAAATATATTAAGGCTGCATAAGATTAGTGAAGATGAAGGGATTTTTTTATGTTTGACCGTTGTGATCTAGAAGGAAAAAATCTCAAATTTTAAAAGCGTACATCTTTACGTTATGCCCTTCATGCACCGCCGCTGTGTTTCCTCTACTGTTGCACTGCTGAGCGACATAATGTAGAGGGAAAGTAATACAGTATATAAATAATGCAAAGGCAGGACAGAGGCCCTCATACACTTCAGCTCAGTTTGTCAGAGGAACAATAGCATCCAATTTATCTTAAGTTGCACTGGACAAAACTGATAGTACACAACAGCACACATGCGCATAAACACACCGACCTCAGTGCACGTTTTCTCATGTTTCCGAGTGAGATCGTTGAAGCGTGCTGTGCTGGCGTTGATCTCTGCCTGCAAAGAGAGCCGCAAGGCCTCGTGTTCCTCCTTCGAGATCAGACCTTGTTCTGCAGCTTTCTGGGACTTCAGCTCTCTCAGCTCCGTCTCCTTGTCGCTCAGAGCGTCCTGCGCTGCTGCTGCCTTACTCTCACAGGCCTGCAGGTCGCGCTGCAGCTCCTCCTGTCAAACAAAAGGCACAGGATGGTGACAAACTGTTTTTAAGTGATTGGAAAAAGTTTATACTTTGCTAGTCGAATGACTTGTCAATTTATATCACCAGAATTATTTAAACATACTGCCTTATCAGTTTTTCTTCTTCATTTTAATTTATTATTTACTCACTTTGACCTTTTCAAGCTCCTCTTTAGAAATGAAGTCCTGTGTGGACGATACTTTGGCTTCTAGACTGGCAACCCTTTCCTCAGCTTGTGCCCGTAAGATTTTCTCCTCTTGGAGCTCCTGCAGCGTCTGAGCTAACTGCTCAGATATTGCAGAGAGTGCCTCTTTATGTTTCGATAGTGGCACAGCGTCTTTCAGCTGCAGGAGTTCCTGTGCCCGGCCCTCCCGCTCCGCACACAGATAGTCCAGAGCCTGGGCTGCTTCCTGCCTGGCCACCTCCAGTTCTTCTCGAACTTTTGCCAATGCTTGTCTGGAGTGTTCTGATTGGACAGAAACGAGACAAAAATGGAGAAATTGTATTTTTGCAGAAAATGTGCTGATTGGTATATGACAACTTAGCTGTTAAAGCTGTTTTTGTTACTTTTTTGCCATCTTATTTGCTAAAAATAAATAAATAAATCTGTATGCCTTTTTATAACTGTCTATTGTTGTAGCTGTTGTCCACTGTTGTCATCATTCTTTGTTGAAATCAGGTCTCTCTTGTAAATGAGTCCTCAAGGCTCAATGGGATTAACCTCTCTAAATAAAGGTTGAATGAAAAAAAAAGCAAAAAGGACACTAGCGAAAAGTCAAAACTTTGTTAAAAGTAGCAAAATCCTAATTAAAAATAAAAAATTAGCTCAAACTAAAAGTGGCTAAATGCTAGCTAAAAGCAGCAAAATGTTAGCAAAAAATCTAAAAATAGCAAAATGCTAGCTAAACTAGGAGTAGCAAGAGGGTAGCTCAAAGTTGCAAAAGGTTAAGTAAAAAATGTAGCAAAAAATAGCTAAAAGTCCAAACTTAGTTAAAATTAGCAAAATCCTAATTAAAAATAAAAGATTAGCTAAAACCTAAAAGTGGCTAATTGCTAGCTAAAAGCAACATAAATCTAAAAATAGCAAAATGCTAGCTAAACAAGGAGTAGCTAAAAAGTTGCAAAAAGTTAAGTAAAATCTTTATGTAGCAAAAAGCTAGCTAAAAACTATAAGTAGCATATGACCAAAAAACTCGTATGCTGAAGTAGATTTTAAAGAAATCAGTGTTTCTCAAGAATTTGAAGCGATTTCAAAGCAAAAATGTTTAAAAAGAATATTAGATATTTAAAATATTATAACAGTTACAAAAAAAATAATAGCTCCTATCTCCCGAATGAGCAGAACATTTTGATACATGAAATATAAAATAATAAAATATAAAATAAAATAAAATAAATAAAATATAAAATAGCAGAAAGTATGAATTGTAGAAAACATACTGAAAAAAAAAAAAGAAGAAATATGCTGAATCAGCATCAACACAAAGAGAGGAGTCCTTGTGGGCAAATGCAAAACCAATGTGCTGTTTGAATTTTGAAAAGTTACTGAAGCACACCTGACATGACAGAGGGCTCGGAGCTCTCTGAATGCTCTTCCTCCTCCTCCTCGTCATCATCTCCACTTGCAGGAGGTTTGAGTCTCTCCAGCTCTAGAAGGGCGTTGTTGAGTCTCCTTGCCACATCTGCTCTCTCCCTAGCTAGCTGCTCACACTGAAGTCTGAGAGTCACCTGAACCTCCTCCAGCTCGGAGCGGGGGACACACTTCCTGAGTTCTCCCTGCAGCTCAGCCAAATGCTCCTGAAGCCGAAGAACCTGATCTCCATTTCCAGCTGTTTCTCCCTCTTTCCCTGATGACCTGCTCTCTGCCAGGACTGCCTCCAGTTCAGCAACTTTGTCACGGAGCAACGTCACAGTTTCTGTCTCTCCTCCTTTGCCTTTCTGTTGCTTTAGCACAGACTCTTTCTGGGTCAGAGCAGCCTGGAGTTCCTTCACTTGCTCTGTCAGCTGTTGGACTGTGTCACTGGTCTGACCCTCGGCCTCGCCCTGCCTCCCAGCAAGCCTCTCCTCTAACTCTGTCACCCTGGCTTTCAGCTGCTGCGCCTCCTGGCTCGCGCCATCATCGTCTGCAGCCCCAGCAACTGTTGTGGCTATATTTTCTTCAATGCAATCCACAGAAAGCACTCCAAGGCGCATCTGCTCCTTTAGCTCCTCTAGCTCAGACTGGGAGGAGGCCAACTGCTCCTCCAGTTCATGCAGCTTTTCTTTCAGAGCGTCTGTGCTTTCCACAACTGCGTCTTCTTCCTGAGATGTCTCATCACTACAAAACAAGAAATGCAAAACACATAAAAATGTAAATACTTTCCTTAAGAAAATTAATTGACGTTTTTCAACAAAATTTAATTGGCAACTTTAGTGTTACAAAGTTGAACATAAAACCTACATAACATAAACTGCTGCCTAACTACACCTGTAATAAAATGTAAAGAACTTGTAAAAAAAAAAAGCTTCTGAAGAAGCTTCAAACAAATCCTGCTGAAGTTGCTTGGATATAAAGAAAGCGCGCACATCCAAAATATGATTTTGCTTGAGGTTTATCAAAAATAAAATCAGTCTCACTGCTCCTCAGACACTCCGGAGACCTCCAGAGAAGCCTGAGCCTGTGAGAGGCGTTCCTGGAGGGTTTCAAACTCCTTCCTCAGGGTCTCGTACTGAGCCATAGGGACTGAGTCCAGGCTTGGAGCCTGCATGTCGGTGTCATCTTTCTCAAACATCTCCAGCATCTAGACAAAACATAGATGGACGGGGTGTCATCGGGGTTTTTAACTATAACGGAAAATCATCAGCATAACAACGAACATTTATCCCATGCTGTTTAATAACTTTACCTAATGGAAACACACACACATACATACATATATACACATATATATATATATATATATATATATACATATATACACATATACACATAT